GAGGTGGTGACAGTGACCCAGGGGTCTCACATAGCAGAAGATGGTGGAGCAGAGAGAGGGATAGTTCCTCATGCACCCTCCTTTCTAAAGCCCTCAGAACCACAGCCCTGACCACCATTATTAATCCATTCACTAAAGCATGGTCCTACAATCCAATCACCTCTTCAAGGCCACACTTTTCAATTATCATAATAGTATTTCTCACCCTCAACAGTTACAGTAGGGATTTAAGCTTCAATGTGGTTGGGGGGGCATCCAATCTATGAAAGGTATCTATATTTTTTTAATGAAATTGGAGCCACTACCTCACACGATATGTAAAAATCAATTTCAAGTGGAATAAATATCTAAATGTGAAATGCACAACTAAAAAGGTATTTTAATATGAGAGAATAGCTTTATGACCTCAGGCAGGGAAAGATTCACTAACAGATGAAAAAGAGCAGTACCCATAAAGGATTTGATAAATTAAAATTAAAATTGTGGAAGTCAAGCCAAGAATGGAGAAATATTTGCAGCACATATGACATACAAAGGACTTGTATACTAAATGCATAAAAATTTTTATAAATCAACATTTAAAAAGTCCACCTGCTATGGATTGATTTGTGTCTCCCAAAGTTCTATGTATTAGAAACTTAACCCCCACTGTGACAGTGTCAAGAGGATGAGAAATCCTATTATGGTAATTGAAAGGTGGGACCTTGAAAAGGTAATTAGATAGTGCAGACCCTGCCCTAGTGAATGGATTAATCCATTGATGGTTTAATGGTGGGCATGGGTATGGTTCTAAGGGCTTTAAAAGTAGAGCATGCGAGAAGCTCTCTCTCTCTCTGTTCCTGCCATATTTGCCATGTGAAACCCTGTGTAGTTATAGTCACCATCAGGAAAAGGCCCTCACCCGATGTGTTCCCTGGACTTTGGACTTCCCAGCCTCTGAAACTGTAAGCAGTAAATAGTATTTCTTCATAAATTACCCAGTTTCAGATATTTCTGTTATAAGCAACAGAAATGGACTCATACAGAAAACTGGTACCAAGAGTGGGATTTTGCTCATAACAAATACTTGAAAATGTGGAAACAGCTTTGGAACTGAGTATTGGGCCGAGGCTGGAGGAATTTGGAGGAGCAGACTAGGAAAAGCCTAGATGATGGTGAAAGTTTAGAAGAAAAAAAACCAGGGAAAGTTTGGAACATCTTAGAGACTGGTTAAATGGTAGTGACCAGAATGCTGATAGAAATATGGACAGTAAAGGCCATACTGAAGAGATATCAGATGTAAATGAGAAGGAGCTTTTGGGGCAAAGAACATCCTTGCCATGAACTTGCAAGGAACTTGGCTATATTTGGTCCATGCCCAAAATTTTATGGAATGTGGAACTTAAAGGTGATGAACCAGGGTATCTGGTGGAAGAAATTTCTAAGCAACAAAGCACTTCAGGAAGTTGCATGGCTACTTGCAACAACCTACACTGAGTTATGGCAGAAAAGCCATGATGTAAAGCCAAAATTTACAATTCAAAAGAAAGCAGAGGGCAAAAAATTGGAAAACTTTCAGTCTGGCCATGTAAAGAGTAAAAAGGTGTCTTTGGGAGAGGAAAGCAAGGGTATAGCCCAGTGACCATTTGCTAGGGAGATTAGTACACAAGAAAGGGACTATCAAGAGAATGGTAAAAAGAGCTGGCTGGTTAACTCGTTTGGTTACAGCACAGCTTATAACCCCAAGATCACAGTTTTGAAGACCCTGAAGGTATTTCAGAAGTCTTGCAGGCTTCCCCTCCCATCACAGGCCCAGAGGCCTAGAGAGACAGAATGGTTTCAAGGAACAGGCGGAGGTGCCCTCCATGGGCTCACTGCCCAGGGCTACCTTGGGATGCTGATCCCCACACCCTTGCTGCTCCAGTTGCGCTAGCTGTGGATAAATTGGCCCCAGGCATGACTGGACCCACAGCTTTAGAACCTATAACCCAGAAACCTTGGCAGCATCCATGTGGTATTAAGTCTGAAGGCTCCCAGAATGCCAAATCTGTATCACCCTGATTTCAAAGGATGTATGAAAAAGCCTGAGGACCCAGAAAGAGATCTGTCACAAGAGCAGAGTCACCACATAGGAGCTTCACTAAAGCAATGCCAAGCAGAAATGGGGGGTCAGAGTTGTAGTAGAGAATCCTCACAAAGGCCATGCCTAGTGGAGCTGTAAGAGCGGGACCATCATGGAGACCCCAGACTTGTGGAGCTACAGAGTGCAATGCCAGCCTGAAGTGTGGCCTGAGACCAGGAAAGTCATAGGAGTGGGGCTGCCCAAGGACTTGGAGGCCCAACCACCACACCAGAGGGCAGAGGATGTCGAACATGGAGTCAAGGTACACAATTTGCCAGCTTTAAATTTTAATGTTTGCCCTGATGGATTTCAGACTTGCTTAGGACCCGCTACACCTTTCTTTTGGTCTATTTCTCCTTTTTTGAACAAGAATATGTACCCTATGTTTATCCCACCATTGTACCTTTGTAGTACATAACTTGTTTTGATATCACAGATGGGATCTTGAGACTGGACTTTTGAGCTGAAACAAGTTAAGACAGGGGATAGAGTAAGTGTATTTACCTGTGAGGACATGAACTTTGGGGGCTATGGATTGAATTGTGTTCTCCAAAGCTCCAGGTATTGGAAACTTAACACCCACCCTGACAGCGTTAAGAGGGTGGGAAATCCTGTTATGATATTTGAAAGGTGGGGCCTTGAAAAGATGATCAGATTGTGAGGACCATGCCATAGTGAATGGATTAATCCATTGATGGTTTAGTGGTGGGCATGGGCATGGTTCTGAGGGCTTTAAAAGTAGAGCATGTTAGAAGCGCTCTCTCTCTCTGTTCCTGCCATATTTTCCACATGATACCCTGCATAGCTATAGTCACCATGAGGAAAAAGCCCTCATCAGATGTGTTCCCTGGACTTCAGACTTTGGACTTCCCAGCCTCTGAAACTGTAAGCAGTAAATAGTATTTCTTCATAAATTACCCAGTTTCAGGATTTTTGCTATAAGCAACAGAAACTAATACACAACTTAATAGAAAAATGGGCCAAAAAAAAAAAAAAAAACACCAAAAACACAAAACTTGGACACTTCACAAAGGAGAAAATTCAGATGGTTAATAAGCATATGAAAAGGTGCTCAACCTCACTAGTAACCTGAGAAATGAAAATTCAAACCACAATTAGAAATAAGTACATATCAATCATATTGGCAAAAAATATAAAGTCTGATGGTACTGAGTTTTGAAAAGGATACAGAACAACAGTAAAATATAAAAATTTAAACTGTACTGTTTAGAAATGATAAAAGTACAAAGAAAAACAAAGAAATTACTGTGAAATCAGAGCAGTGGTTATGTCTAGGAAGGAAGGATATTAACATTGGGATGAACGCTTTTGGGTGGGGGCTTCTAGAGTGTAAGCATTGCTCAATTTCTTGACCTGGATGTTGATTACACGGGTGTTAGCCTGATAATTACTCATTAATGAAACAGCATGTTTTAGCACTTATCTGAACGTATTCCATATTTCATAAAAGTGAAAACATGTATTAGCTTCCAAAATAAATGGCAACATTTATGTGAAAATTTAGATTATTTCATTTTTTTAGCCCTAGGAATACCTGTATTCACTTTAGTACAATTCAAAATTAGGAATAAACAGAATTAAATTGAAACTTCAGTTTATTATGCAATATTGTAGGGTACAAATTCATTTCCTGGGCTGGCCCATTAGCTCACTCAGTTACAGAGGGTGCTGAAGGTCAAGGGATCAGATCCCCTTATTGGTCAGCCACAAAAAAAACAAAAAATTAAAAAAAATTATTTTCCTATTGAGCTTTATGTATAAATAGTTGAACTTGAATATATAGCAAGGAATATCTCCCTGTATGTCTCTCTTCACCCTCGCATACCTCACTAGTTAGTGTTCTGCTCAAATGAACTTCACGAGCAACCTTGAAGAGACACCAATGGCTGCAGCTTATGTTGGAGTTTGTTTTGTTTTGTTTTTGTCAGGTTTATTGAAGTAAAATTTACGTATAGTAATATTTACCCTTTTTAGGTGTTCAGTTCTAAGAATTTTGACAGTTTTGTAAGCATCACTACTACACTCAGGATATAGGATGTTGCCATTATGCTGGAGCTGGTTTTTATCTCCTTTTGTCTTGTTTCAGTAGTACAGTAGTCCCCCCTTATCCATAGTTTCACTTTCTGCAGTTTCAGTTACCTGTAGTCAACCACATCTGAAAATATTAAATGGAAAATTCCAGAAATTAATAATTTATAAGTCTTAAATTGCATGCTGTTCTGAGTCTTGATATAATTGTTCTATTTTATGAGTAGTAATTATTGTTAATATCTTACGATGCCTAATTTATAAATTAAACTTTATCATAGGTATATGTATGTATGTATGTATAGGAAAAACATAGTATATATAGGGTTTGGTACTATCCACTGTTTCAGACATCTACTGCAGGTCTTGGAACATGCCCCCTGTGGCTAAGGGGGGACTATTGTAATATGTGTATAAAGTAAAAAAAAATAAAAATAAAAAAAACCTTCAAATAGATATATAATATCAGATTTCTACCCAAAAGATTTTATCAAGTTATACTGCAGGGGTTAGGAACAATCTTTTTTTTTTTTTTTTTTTTTTTTTTACCTTTGGCTCGGTGTCATCCGCACCACACTGAGTGCACCGGCCATCCCTATATAGGATCCAAACCCGCGGCCTCGGCGCTACCAGCACTGCACTCTCCCGAGAGAGCCACGGGGCCAGCCCAGGAACAATCTTTAAATGATTGCTAAGGATTGGCCTGTTGTTGGAGCAAGACCACAAATTTAAATTAAGAAATGGTTTATATCACCACAGCAACTAACTAATGTTCTTTGTTGTCATATTTAATGCTTTATGTTTGGAACAATTAATGGTTGAATGTTCTTTTCTTTTCTGTGGTGAACAGGTTATGAGGAATGAACTCTTAGAGAAGCACTATAAACATGGGAGCAAGTTTCTGACTTCATTTCCAGATGGGACAACACAAATATTGTATCTTTTCTTTCAACAACTTATTTTCATTAGCTTTATTTTTCAGCAAAAGAAACATAAAGAAAAATATTAAATTACTCCAAAATCTGCCACCCACAGAGAAGTTCTTAGCATTTTTTAAATGTATATTTCCTTACTTTTTTCTGTTTATGAGAATATATATATAGTTCTTTTAAAAACCAATTATTTAACTATTCATATTTTATAACCAGCCCCTTTACATAATGATATTATACAACAAATAATGAATATATATATGTTCATGAATATGTAATATGAATATGTGGTATGCAATAAATACAGAGATATAACACCATTTTTATAACCACACAGAATTTCACTGTAGAGATGTACTATTCTATAACTCACTTAACCTTTCCCTTACTGCTAACAAAGGTGGTTTCAGTTTTTGCTGTTGTACACAAATGAACAGCTCTGTGCATACTTTGTTGCATACTTATTACTCATTTCCTTGAATTAAATACCTAGGGCTAGAAATTCTGGGTAGGAAATTTGGACATTTTAAAGCTTTGATAGATTTTTCTCCCAGAAAATGTGTACCAGTTTACCCATCCATAAGAAATACGTCATTTTTTAATACCAAAATTCAGTAGCCATATCATAGAACACTAAGTTATTGATCTCTTGGACTTCTGCCTGATGACCAGGTCATTTGACATTTCAATATAAGGGCCATTTAATATCTTGAGGAAACTAAAGAAAAGGAGGGCTTTTTCATGAACTGAGGGCCTCCCTTTGTAGAAGAAAATCATTTTTAGTCATTGTTTCCTAAATGTTTAGTCGAATATCAATAATAAACCAGAAATATGACTTTTATGACATAGGAAGCATAATGAAGTCTTAGTTCCCTAGGCCCTATGAAAAAGAGTGTCGGTTTTGTTTTAATTATATCAATAAATTTTAAATAACTTACCCAACTTTTATTATTAGTTATCATTTCATGCTCTGATTTTAATTCTTCTTAACTTTCTTGAAGGCTGTGTCTGATTTTTAAAATGATTCAGAATCAATCTTGTATTTACTTCATCTCTGGACTTCAGATCAGCCTAGGTGTGGACTGAGTATTAACAGTCAGTGAATTATCCTCAGTATATTTTATTCTTTTTGATGCTATTGTAAATGGAACTGTTTTCTTAATTTCATTTTCAGAATGTTCACTAACAGTGTATAGAAATACAATTTGTTTTTTATATAAATCTTGTAGCCTATAACCCTGCTGAACTCATTGATTAACTCTAATATATTGTTTTGTGGATTGCTTAGGATTTTCTTTATACAAGACCATGTCATCTGCAAATAGATACAGTTTTACTTTTCTTTCCAATCTGTTTGCCTTTATTTCTTTTTCTTTCCTAAAGTTTTCATTGTTAGAATATCCAGAGCAGTGTTGAATAGAAGTGGTGAGAACTGACACCTTTGTTTAGTTTCTGATCTTATGGGAAAGCACTCAGTCTTTCACCATTAAGTATGATTTTAGCTGTGGGTTTTTTGTACATATTCTTTATCAGGCTGAGAATGTTCCCTTCTTTTCAAAGTCTATTGAGTCTATCATAAAAAGGTGTTGGAGGGCTGGCCCAGTGGCTCACTGGAGAGTGCGCCACTTGGGAGCGCGGCGGCGCTCCCACTGAGGGTTCGGATCCCATGNACACCGAGGGTTGCGATCCTGTTACCGGTCAGTAAAAAAGACAAAAAGGAAAAAAAAAAAGGTGTTGGAGTTTGTCAAATGCTTTTTCTACGCCTATTGAGATAATCATGTGTTTTTTGCTCTTTATTCTATTAATATGGTATATTATTCTATTATTCATTATTCTATTAATATGGCATATTACATTAATTGATTTTCAGATGGTAAACCAACCTTGCATTCCTGGGATAAATCCCACTTCATCACAGTGCATAATCCTTTTTACATATTGCTAGATCCAATTTGCTAGTATTTTCTTGAGGATTTTTCCATCTCATAAATATATTTTGATCCCCATAAAAAAACATAAAATCTGGGCTGGCAGGTTAGTTCACTTGGTTAGAGAGTGGTGTTTGTAACACCAAGGTCAAGGGTTTGGATCACCATACTGGCCAGCCACCAAAAAAGCAAACAAAAAATAAAATCCTTTGTAATAGTAGTACCTTTCATTTTCAGAATGCTGTATAATTTCAAAGGGCTGTTTCATAAATTGCATTTATTCCCAGAATAGTCAAGGATCATTAGAACAACTCACATGACCTTATCTGATCTCAGCTATCCATCTGGAAACCTAGCCATTATCCGAGTGCCCAACAAGATAAATGGTTTCACTTGTATAGTCCAAGAAGATGTGCCCACTAACCCTTCCATCCTGGCAGTGCTGGACTCCTCTGGCAGAAGTTCCTGCTATCATCCCAACGGAAATGTCTGGTAGGTTTCTAGGTTCCTCCTGCTGCCATTTGATTGACTGATTGACTGATTGATTTTTGCTTTTCTGAAATTTGGTTTTTCTTCTTAAATGATAAGAATGGCTCTAAGAAGATTTATTTAAGTTAATGATCTTTAGATAGTAATGTTCAGCTCAGAAACAGTTTTGGTTTATGCCATTCCATATGTTTCTCAGTAGAAAAATCTCAAGCAACTATACAAAGCAAAGCTCATATTCTTTCCATACACACTAAGAAAATATGCACTACATAACTGCAGAATAGAAAAAACAATCTTAATAAATTATTTGGTCACTCCAGGGATTTGGAATATGAATCCAGGCAGTCTTTAGCCTGTGCCCTGATGATATTCTGCTTCATCTATGGAAATAATTTGTCAGTGGAAAGTTGCTACACTGTACTGTTATTGTTTGAGATACACTCCTAACTAATAAGCTTTCTAAAGCCACAACCAACAACAATAACATACAAACAAAATATTTTTAAAAATTAAAATCCTGAGGGCCGGCCCAGTGGCGCACTGGATAGTGCGCCGCTTGGGAAGCGCGGCGGCGCTCCCGCTCGAGGGTTCGGATCCCACATACAGACCGGTTCCCGCTCACTGGCTGAGCGAGGCGCGGGAGCAACACCGAGGGTTGCGGTCCCGTTGCCGGTCCCGGTCCGGTGTGGGGGCGACACTGAGGGTTGCAATCCGTTGCCGGACACGGAAAAAGACAAAAAAAAAAAAAAAAAAATTAAAATCCTGATTCACAGATACACTTTGACTTCATATTATTTCATTCAGCCTGACAAAGTAAAATTTGGTTTCTAACTTCAAATACAATTTAAGCTTTTTAAGCTTTTCAGGAAGAGATATTCTTTTCCTTTAAATTATTTACAGGTATAAAAATCTCATTTTGGGAAACTCTCCAATAATTGGCAAAATTTGGACACTGCCAGTACTTGATAAATTAGAACACTGTGAGCTATTTGTGATTTTAGTGCGAAGCTGTGGTTAATTCATTACCATCATATCATGTATATTGGAAAATTTCTGCTTATTTTTTAGGATTCAATAGCAATTGTATGTTACATATGGTGAAGTGCTATATTAATTGTCACCAATATACATTGGTTTCTAGATAAGAAACCAATGGTTCTTCTTTATTGGTTTCATGAAACCCCCTGACCCACAAACTGAACTCCTGGTCACTGACTTGGCTCCTTGACACTCTCATAGACCCTCTATCTGCCTCTGTATAGCAAGTCCATTTACCTTGCTGGACTGAATTTCCTTAAAGGCACATCTCAAATCTTTGCCAATACATAGCAGTATATCTGTGCATGGTATAGACTTAAAGAATGTTTAATAAATAAACAAAGGACTGACTTATCTAGATAATTTATTCTCACCCACATTTCAAGATAAAACTAAATCTCCTCCTTCCCAGATACAGTAAAATAATCACCTCAGTTTCTCATTTGTACTTTTTTTTTTTTTTCCTATATAAGGATGACCAGTAAGGAGATCTCAACCCTTGGCCTGGTGTTGTCAGCACCACGCTCAGCCAGTGAGCAAACCGGCCATCCCTATATAGGATCCGAACCCGTGGCCTTGGTGTTATCAGCACCGCACTCTACCGAGTGAGCCACGGGCCGGCCTCTCTCATTTGTACTTTTGCTAGTAGATTACTACCACTAATCAATATTGGAGAAATGAAATGTTAGTTATCTTAGTGTTGGAGCTATCATAGACAATTTTTCTAGTTTTTAAAAAATAATTTATTTTTTAAATAAGGGCTGGCCCATGGCTCACTTGGGAGAGTGTGTTGCTGACAACACCAAGTCAAGGGTTAAGATCCCCTTACCAGTCATCTTTTAAAATTAATAATAATAATAATAATAATTTATTACCAAGTGAAGCCAACTTTCTGAGTTCCCAGAACTATACCTGTTCTCTGTCCTCAAGGTGGGGATGGTGATCCAAGTTAGAAGAAGGTGAGAGAGTACGAGAAGGAGATAATTAAGTGGCACAGTGATTAGTGCCACTAGATCTCAGACTGTGCAGGTCTAAATTTGTATGTAATGTGGTAAAAGATGGGCCATTAGTGATTCAGCAATTAGCAGGAGATTGGGAGTCGCATTGGTCTAAGTTCCACCTTCTGCTCCATTACAGAGCTCTTCTCTACTGCAGTGGTATCAGAGGTGGGCCATTAGTGATTCAGCAATTAGCAGGAGATTGGGAGTCGCGTTGGTCTAAGTTCCACCTTCTGCTCCATTACAGAGCTCTTCTCTACTGCAGTGGTATCAGAGGTGTTTTCTGAGCCTCTCCTGCCCATACCCAGTCCTGATGAGAGGGCTCCTGAAAGCCTGCCTGGCTCCTAGTTGGTGGGCATTGTTAGAAAACCACTCTCTTGTACTGAGACCAATTCAGGCTTCCCCAGAATTTACACCCACTGGTGGAAATCTAAGCACTGGTCTTCTCCCCTCTTATAGGAATAGACTATTCTCCTGTATCTCTTCCAGACTAAACCTTCCCTGTTCCCACTTCATTCTTCCACCCTTTACCATCCCCGTTCCACCCTCTGGACGCATTTTGGTTTATCTGTATGGTCTCAAATTGGACTAAGTACTTCAAATTAGTGCAGAATTCAGTCACAGTATTATCACTCCTAGTATTACCTGAGATTTCCACCACGTACATGCTATTACTCCCCTTGGTTAGCAAGTGCATTGAATTATAGTGTTACTGTTTATGATTGTTAATTTCCTTCCTGCCCAGGGTGTACATCAATATCTTGGGAGGTCAATATTCAGATCAAGCTGGCAACAGAGTAAGAGCTTGGAATTGGTCGAGTTCCATCGCTTCCTTACCATTTGTTTCATTTAAACCTGTCTTTCTGGCTTTGAACCATTACGTTGGAGTTCGCATCCTAGAACAAGACAAGATTTCCATCACTTTTCTAGCAATGGGCCAACAGGCAAGAATCAGTGTCGGAACCAAAGTGAAGGTAGGTATGTTTTAAAAAACAGTTTAAAGCATTTAGAATAATGAGAGAGTAAATTAACTTTTGTTAGTGTCATTACCGATAGAGAGTATACTTATTCATAATCTACTGTCCACTAAGAATTTTGGAATTCAATGAAAAAACGCATGGTGAAAGTTTCATATGGAATTGAGGCAACCTTATTAATTGTTTCTGCTTCTGAAATTCCTTTTACTTCTGACTTGGATCCACGTAACACTTACCGAGTGTTTACTCCAGGACTGAGTAGTGCTACTTTGGGGATTTTATTTTAGGATTTTGTATTGTGTTTGTTTTTCTCCCTGCTGTGGTAGAAGCCCTGGGCTGGGTCAGGAGACCTGGGTTCTCATCATGTTCAAGCCTCATTTCCTTGGAGACACTTCTCAGACCTCCTAGTCCTTCTCCCAGTCAGCGTCTATCACGTCCTTCTCAGGGTTTCCACCTTCTTGCTTCTATCCCTGTGCTTGCTGAAGCATGCTGCCTTACGCACCCCTATGACTGCCTTTCCTACTGGACAGCGAGCTCCTGAAGGGCAGAATCTCTGTCTACTGTCCCCAGTGCCTCACCCAGGCATGGCCCAGAGTACACTCTCAGTGACTAACAATAAGGCATAATGGTTAAGAACATGCACTTCAGGTTACAGAGTCTCTAGAGTTTCAGACCTCAGCTCTGCCACTTGCCTAAGTGAGTGAACTTGAAGTTCAGTTCCTCATCCACAAAATGGGTTAATGATTCCTACCTATCAGATTGCTGTGAAGACTCAATGAGAATGCGAAGTACTAAGCCTGGTGCTTGGCACCAAATAAGTACACAGTACAAGGTAGCTTAATGTGTAGAAACAGATAAAAATAGAGATGTATATGTACCTATATACATATATAACATGTATATTGTGTGACTTTGAACAAGTCTCTTAAACTCTGAGGACCTTCGTTTTATCCATTTTTAAAGGAAGAAGTTGCTCCAAACTATAAAGGTGTCTTTAACGTCTAAAAAAAAACTGTATTTTTAAGTGTGTGGAAATAAGATCTCAATATTCAGCACAGGCAGGAATGTCTCATGAACACCTCTCTCTTCTCCACTCCTTCTCTCCAGTCTTCCCCCCTTTAGAAATGAATTTTAATCCGAAAAAGAGTCATTTTGACGCAAAAGGAAGAATTTGATGCTAATTTTTTTTTAACCTGCTTTATTTTGATTATTTCCTTCATCATTTCCCCCTTTTGATCAAGAACTTTCAATTGGAAGCTCATTCCCTGGAAGTCATGTCCCTTGTTGGGGGAAGAGTTGACGCTAAAATTTTTACTTTTCCCATTGTTCTTACAATCACTCTTTCTTTGGGTTTACTAAAATTACAAAAGTGATGTGAATACGTCTCATATTTGAAGATTTGAACAATACAGAAATAGAGAATAAAAAATGACATTCCCCCTTTATCTCCTTTTCTATTCTAACCCCCTTTTCCAAAGTGATCACCACCCAAAATTTGGTGTGTATCTTTCCCCTTTCTATGTATTTATAAATTATTCATATACATATTTTCTAAAAAATAAGAATTGAATCATACTATGCTGGTTGAGGACGGGGTTCTGTTTTTTGTTTTCCATTTAACAAGTATTGAAGATTTTTCCATGTATACATCTTCAAGCATACTGGAAGTCTATTTTATTTTTTAATTGCTACATAATATTTCCTATGTACTGTAGTTAATTTATGCTAAATCTAATGACTCTCAGTGCCATTGGACACAGTCGATCACTTCCTCCTCCTGACAGCTCTTCTTCCCTTATTTCCCGGACACTTCATTGAGTTGCATGTCCTCAAATACCATCTACATGCTGATAATCCTTAAACTTGTATGTCCAGGATCTCCCGTGAACTCCAGACTTGCAAATCTCTGTTGTCAACTCAGCATCTCCATTTGGATGTCCAAGAAGGCAATAAAAGCATAGCAAACCAGATTTCGAAGTTGCTCCTCCCTCAGTCTTCTCCATCCATCTCAGAAAAAAAAAAAAAAGTCAACTGCATTCTTTCAGTTTCTCAGGCTAAAAACTTTGGACTAGTTATCCTCCTGTCTGCTTCAGAACCACACATCACCTCATCCGCAAGTCACATAAACTCTGCCTCCAAAGTATCTCCAGAGTCTAACACTTCTAACATCCTCCAGTACTGTCACTCTGGTCCGCCTCTTGTACCTAATCCATCTGTTGCTTAAATTATTACAATAGCCTCCTAATGAGTCTCCCTGCTTCTAGTCTTCCCAAAGACTATTCTAACCCTAGGTGGAATGATACACAAGTCTGGTCAAAACTATCTAATGGCTTCTAACCTTACTCTGAGTAAAAGCCAAGGCCCTACGTAAGGCCTGCAATGCTGGACATGATCTGGACCTCCTCATTTCAGTATTCCGTCTATATTACTCTTTTCTCACTCCCTCTGCTCCACCCACCCTACCTTTTTGCGGTTCCTGCCATGGGGCCTTTGCACTTGCTGCTCACTCAACCTCAAATGCTCCTTTTCTGTTTAGCACATGGCTGTTCCTTCACTTCCTTCAGGTTTCTGCTCAGAGTCTTTTCCTGACCAATCTAACTAAACTAGCAAGACCCACCCTCACCTCTACCCTGGCACTCCAAGTGCCTCTTTGGTCATTGGTCACAAGTTTTAGTATGTAGTGCTCTCATTTCCTTTCACTTCTAAATAATTTATATCAATTTTGACTTCTTCAATTCAATAGTCATAGTATTTTTAAATAGATAAAAAGATTTACTATCCTTTTCTTGCTAATTTCTAAATGGCCAGGGAATATGGCTTTCATTTTTTTCTGCTATTTATAATATATTGATATTTTCTTTGTTGTTGATTACACAATTTTTACGAGTGCTTCATGTGTATTTTACCCAAGAAAAGGTATATTGTTTGTTGGTACAAAATTCTATATCTAATCGTTTTAATTCGTACTTCTCTATCCTTTTCTTTTTATATAATGGGTTTATTTCTGAGAAATGTATGAAAGTCTCTCAAAATGATTGTGAACTTGTCCATCTTTCCTAGTATTTCTATCAAGTTTTGCTTTATATATTTTGAAGCTCTGTGGGCAGGAAATTAAAGGCAATGACTAGTTTCTTGGAAAGCTGTACCTTTCACCCGTGTCACTTCAATCTTCCACCTCACTCATTTGCTCTTTAGCTGTGCCCCTTATGTGACTCGGTGTATCAGTGAGGGTTTATTTTGACAATAAAAATTGTAATCTTATCAATATGGATTATTCCCAATTTCCTTTTTAATGGCCTTTGCCTTAAATAGTTTCATCCACTGTTAAATTGCTAAACCTGCTTTCTTTTTGTTAGCATTTGCTTGATTCATATTTTGTCATCCTTTGATTTTCAACCTTTTTATATAGTTTTCAGTTATATGTGTCTCTTGCAAACAGCATATAACTGAATTTTATTGCTTTTCTCAACCTGACAGACTCAGTCTTTTAATGTACCATATTTTTATGGTTAGTCTAAAATTGTTAACCTATCTTTTTTTCTATTTGCATAGAATTAACTTCCAAGTCCTCTAGTTGTTTCTTTTCCTTGACAACAATCTTCTCTCAAATCCCTTAGAAAATAATTAGCTATATATATATATATATATAAAGTCTTCCTCTATTAATTTTGTTTCTTTGAGTATCAATTTCTCTGATAGGTAAATCTGGTGTCTCTCTTTCATGGCCTCAAATATTTGGTGATTCCCAGTTGTGTGTTCATTTTTGTATTTGCCAATCCGTTTTCCTGAATGTTCTGTTTACTGAAGTTTGCTTCTGATAATCGTGGAGAAGTGGTATGTGCTGTTGAGGGGTAGAAGGCCAGCTCCTGTGCCAGATGCCAACCCCAGCCTGTGGTCACCGCCGCTCAATACAAAGGGGAGGTGAGGGGCTGCCTCCCGCTGGATCCGGTCAGTGTTTACCTCAGGATCTTTCCTAGCTCATTTCTGTTGACTTTGACCTCAGAGTTTATGTGTTTTAGGTTAGTGGTTTCATTTGGTCATTTATCTCTCTGTAGATAAATGTAGATATGGTCTCATCAGCTTTTTGTTTTTCAGGAATTCCTTGAAAATTCCTAGTGATGAAATCCTTCTTATTAGAACCATTGTTGATTTAATCTCTGAAACATTTTCCGTCATTTTGTAGGATTTGGGGTTAAAGAATAAATTAAAGATTCTGATTCATTCTTTGTTATTTGTCCATCTCATACCCTTTTCTTCCTTCTTTCCTTTCTGTGGAGGGAGGGGTGTAAATGCAGAGAGATGCTGTAAGTGCTGCACCTTGGGCCGGTAAGTGGTCACCTGGTCACCACACCTGCGGAAGTGGTACTGTGGCTGTGCTTACTTTTAGCTGCCCCTTGGAGGCTACTGCTCCTCCTGGGGTGGCTCTGAAGCCACGGTCTGCAGAAAGGCCTCAGGCAAGGCTGTCCTGACAGGTCCATTCACCTTTCTGCAGCTGTAAGGAGACATCAGCCTTGAATCATCAAAGGCTGTGAGGACGTGGGCAGAGCAGAGGCCAAGGAAGGTTAATGCAGAGGTTAATTTGGAATAGCCTCCTGGAGGTAAAGGCACAGATAGGAGATGGGTAGGGAATAGTGGTCATCCCATTTCCCCCTTCTCTGAGGGAGACAGCCCGCTCTGTGCCCTCCCCGTGGGCGCCCGGCCTCGCACCTGCACCGCACCCTCCCCGCCGGCCACTCCCGGGGAAGGGACGATGTCTGAGGCGTCCTTGCGCTCCACTCAGTGGATGCTGGTGACAGTACCCGAATAACTGATAAGCTTTGGAAAGTATCCAGATTCCATTTGGTCTGTGAAGTCTCCACAGCATTTCAGCTCCTTCCTCGTTCAGATCAGAATAACACCAGCTGGGTCGGGCTGGTGGCGCACTCGGGAGAGTAGGCGCTGGGAGCGCAGCGACGCTCCAGCCACGGTTAGGATCCTATATAGGGATGACCGGTGCGCTCACTGGCTGAGCGCGGTGCGGGCGACACCACA